ATTTGGAATTATTTAAATTCACCCACTCTCTTATCCAAGTTAAACAGTCCACTTTTAGAGTTAGTGCTAGGGAATCATGGGAATTGTTATTTTTTCTGAGACATTGAGCCTTCTCTGTCAGAGAGCTCTGGTGCCACAATAAAATACAGTTCCCATGATTCCCTAACCCTAACCCTAAAAGTGGACTCAATTTGCACTATTTCTGGCAATCTGCAACCCCCCTAAGATTCAATTAATAAACATGAAATTTAATCAGATTCATTTTCAAAGCTCTGGGCTGCATCCGCACTGTAGAAATATTCCAGTTTGACACCACTTTAACTGTCATGGCTCAATGCTAGGGAATCCTAGGAATTGTAGTTTCATGTGGCACTAGAACTCTCTGACACAGAAGGCTAAATGTCTCATAAAATGACAAATCCCAGAATTCCATAGTAATGAGCCATGGCAGTTAAAGTGGTGTCAAATTGCATTATTTCTGCAGTGTGGATGGGGTCCTGGTTATCAGTTTCAGTCTCTGCTTGTCATCATCGCAGTTATCATGGATTTCTAAAAACTGAAGGGATACCTGGAGTAAAAGAAGCTTCTCTACCCTTTCACATGTCAATTTATTTCTTGATTTAGTGTGAGTGTTTCTAAACATAGGCCAGATTATTTCAGTGCCTCCCTCCTGAAGGAAGAAATGCATCTTGCTCTTGCACTGGAGAGTTCAGTTTGTTACCTAGGGACTTTATCACAGGGGGGGAAATTGGGGAGCTTAAAGAGCCATTATACTGCGTGATCGCAGGAAGATTTTCACATACATCACGATGAAAGAGCCATTATCCTGGGAATAACCAGGCAATAAAAAGCAACAAATCCTTCAACAATCATTTCTGTTAGTCTCAAAGCTGCTATAAGATCTTTCTACCCACTGATTCTACAGACTAAGGGCCTTTGCAGACTGCCAGAAATAATGCAGCTTGAGTCCACTTTAACTGCCCTGGCTCAGTGCTAGGGAATCATGGGACCTGTAGTTTATTGTGGCACCAGAGCTCTCTGACAGAGAAGGCTCAATGTCTCAGAAAAAAATACAGTTCCCATGATTCCCTAGCACTGAGCCAGGACAGTTAAAGTGGACTCAATTTGCACTATTTTGGGCAGTCTGCAAAGGCCCATAGTATCCAGTGTTTGATGCTGTCTTTTTTAAATTTGTGCTTTTTTTGGGCCTTTGCAGACTGCCAGAAATAGTGCAGATTGAGTCCACTTTAATTGCCCTGACTAGGGAATCATGGGAACTGTAGTTTATTGTGGCACCAGAGCTCTCTGACAGAGAAGGCTCAATGTCTCAGAAAAAACTACAGTTTCCATGATTCCCTAGCACTGAGCCAGAGCAGTCAAAGTGGACTCAAGCTGCATTATTTCTTGCAGTCTGCAAAGGCCCTAACATGGCTATATCTTTGAATTCTACCTGTTATCTGAGGTTCATCTGTTTACCCCTCTCCTGGCATTTGAACAGGCAATAAAACCAGGGAGGCCTTTGAAGTTATAATTGGGTTTCTTGTTTATAGAGGTCTGTTTGAATATTTGGGTTGAGAATTGTGCTGGCCTCCAGCTGGTGTTGGACTGCAACTCCCAGCAGCCCTACTTGGCCCAGGCTGAATCTGCAATCCAGAATTAATGCACTATGTAGAGAGATCTTGCAATATAGCACCTTTAATTGAAAGAAAGAAGTTGGCAGCATGAGCTTTTATAGAGTTTATGGCTATGAAAGCTCATGCTGCCAACTTCTTTCTTTCAGTTAGGGCCTTTGCAGACTGCTAGAAATAGTGCAAATTGAGTCCACTTTTAGGGTTAGGGTTAGGGAATCATGGGAACTGTATTTTATTGTGGCACCAGAGCTCTCTGACAGAGTAGGCTCAATGTCTCAGAAAAAACAACAACAATTCCCATGACTCCCTAGCACTATCCCTAACCCTTAAACTGGACTCAATTTGTACTATTTCTGGCAGTCTGCAAAGGCCCTTAGTCTCAAAGGTGTACAAGATCTCTCTACATAGTGATTCTACAGACTAATACAGCTATATCTTTGAATTCTACCAAAATTGATGCAGTTTGATAACACTTTAATTGGTTCAATGCTATGGAATTCTGGGAATTTGCAGTTTTGTGAAATATTTATCATAGCCTTCTCTGCCAGAGAGCTCTGTCAGGAAACCTCAAATGACTACAACAGACCTCAAATCCCAGGATTGCATAGGATGGAGCCATGACTGTTCAAATGGTGTCAAACCACATTATTTCTGCAGTGCAGACTCAGCCACAGCCAATGATATGGAATGCTAAGTTTTGCAGTCTAACACAGGACATGCATCCCAGTACAGCTACTGTTTACTATCTTTTTCTACAGCTTCACTTGATTTTCAAATAATGGAAGACACTCCTTTGATTGGAACGAGTTTAACAACTACAGAGATCTGTTCCGTATCCAAGAATCAGTGCAAAAAGAACAACTAGCCCCACCCTTAGCTACTAAATGCTGCTGCATTGCTGTCCTCAATTTTTCCATGAATCAGAGAGAAGATATGACCTAATCATGGAGAAATTTAGGGTGGGCTAGTGGATTAGTAATCCTTATTCTTAACAGCTCTGCTAGATATTTCAGTTGCTACAGGAAATACTACTGTTACCCCTGTGCTTATCACAACAACCATAACATATTGACTTGGGTGAGAATCATGTTGTTAGATTGCAACACCTGGTAGCTCTGGCTGATGTAGCCAATGTTGACGAATGCTGGGAACTGCTA